GACCAAAGTACACCATAAAAAACAATTTTCAATTTTGGAATAGGGGCGACCCTAGTCAAAATCAATTTTGTCTTTTTTTTCTTCGAGAGTTTATCCAGATGGATTGAAACTTTGCGTAAATATTCTAGTGCTTAAAACAAATACAAATAAAACATCCTAAAATTTTTTTGAGCAAAGAACTAAGTAGGAGATACATTTTCAATAATGAAATTGGGACAGGTCCAGTCAAAATCTAGTATTTCACTTTTTTCTTCAAGGATAAATCCAAATACAGTAAAACTTTGTATGAGCATTCTAATTTTCAGGTCACACATTTCTGAATTAATAAAAATCATTTTTTTGGACAAAATTTTAAGTCACGTTGTTTTTTAATGTACATTCAAATTTATAAAATTTGGGTCTGACGACATATAGAATACATTACTTGCTTTAGATATTTAAAACTGTTTTGTATAAATATTTGTATACTCACACAAAGTTTCACTGTAATTGGATTAACCTTCGAAGAAAAAAGTGAAAAACTAGATTTTGACTAGACCTGTCCCAAGTTCATAATTGAAAATGTATTTCCTACTTGGTTCTTTGCTCAAAAAAATTTTAGGATGTTTTATTTGTATTTGTTTTAAGCACTAGAATATTTATGCAAAGTTTCAATCCATTTGAAAAAACCCTCGAAGAAAAAAGTGACAAAATTGATTTTGACTAGGGTCGCCCCTAGTCCAAAATTGAAAATGTATTTCCTACTTGGTTCTTTGTTTAAAAAAATTTTAGGATGTTTTATTTGTATTTGTTTTAAGCATTTGAATATTTATGCAAAGTTTCAATCCATTTGGATAAACCCTCGAAGAAAAAAGTGACAAAATTGATTTTGACTAGGGTCGCCCCTAGTCCAAAATTGAAAATGTATTTCCTACTTGGTTCTTTGTTCAAAAAAATTTGAGGATGTTTTTTTGGTATTTGTTTTAAGCACTTGAATATTTATGCAAAGTTTTAATCTATTGGATAAACCCTCGAAGAAAAAAGTGACAAAATTGATTTTGACTAGGGTCGCCCCTAGTTCATAATTGAAAATGTATTTCCTACTTGGTTCTTTGTTCAAAAAAATTTGAGGATGTTTTTTTGGTATTTGTTTTAAGCACTTGAATATTTATGCAAAGTTTTAATCTATTGGATAAACCCTCGAAGAAAAAAGTGACAAAATTGATTTTGACTAGGGTCGCCCCTAGTTCATAATTGAAAATGTATTTCCTACTTGGTTCTTTGTTCAAAAAAATTTGAGGATGTTTTTTTGGTATTTGTTTTAAGCACTTGAATATTTATGCAAAGTTTTAATCTATTGGATAAACCCTCGAAGAAAAAAGTGACAAAATTGATTTTGACTAGGGTCGCCCCTAGTTCATAATTGAAAATGTATTTCCTACTTGGTTCTTTGTTCAAAAAAATTTGAGGATGTTTTATTTGTATTTGTTTTAAGCACTAGAATATTTATGCAAAGTTTCAATCCATTTGGATAAACCTTCGAAGAAAAAAGTGACAAAATTGATTTTGACTAGGGTCGCCCCTAGTTCATAATTGAAAATGTATTTCCTACTTGGTTCTTTGTTAAAAAAAATTTTAGGATGTTTTATTTGTATTTGTTTTAAGCACTGGAATATTTATGCAAAGTTTCAATCCATTTGGATATACCCTCGAAGAAAAAAGTGACAAAATTGATTTTGACTAGGGTCGCCCCTAGTTCAAAATTGAAAATGTATTTCCTACTTGGTTCTTTGTTAAAAAAAATTTTAGGATGTTTTATTTGTATTTGTTTTAAGCACTGGAATATTTATGCAAAGTTTCAATCCATTTGGATAAACCCTCGAAGAAAAAAAAGACAAAATTGATTTTGACTAGGGTCGCCCCTACTCCAAAATTGAAAATTGATTTTCTATGTTGTGTTTTGGTCAAAAAAATTTAGGATGTTTTATTTGTTTTTGTTTTAAGCACTTGAATATTTATGCAAAGTTTTAATCTATTGGATAAACCCTCGAAGAAAAAAGTGACAAAATTGATTTTGACTAGGGTCGCCCCTAGTTCATAATTGAAAATGTATTTCCTACTTGGTTCTTTGTTCAAAAATATTTAAGGGTGTTTTATTTGTATTTGTTTTAAGCACTAACATATTTATGCAAAGTTTTATTCCATCTGGATAAACCATCGAAGAAAAAAGTGACAAAATTGATTTTGACTAGGGTCGCCCCTAGTCCAAATTTGAAAATGTATTTCCTACTTGGTTCTTTGCTCAAAAAAATTTTAGGATGTTTTATTTGTATTTGTTTTAAGCACTAGAATATTTATGCAAAGTTTTAATCCATTTGGATAAACCATCGAAGAAAAAAAGTGAGAAAATTAATTTTGACTAGGGTCGCCCCTAGTCCAAATTTGAAAATGTATTTCCTACTTGGTTCTTTGCTCAAAAAAATTTTAAGGATGTTTTATTTGTATTTGTTTTAAGCACTAGAATATTTATGCAAAGTTTTAATCCATTTGGATAAACCATCGAAGAAAAAAAGTGAGAAAATTAATTTTGACTAGGGTCGCCCCTAGTCCAAATTTGAAAATGTATTTCCTACTTGGTTCTTTGCTCAAAAAAATTTTAAGGATGTTTTATTTGTATTTGTTTTAAGCACTAGAATATTTATGCAAAGTTTTAATCCATTTGGATAAACCATCGAAGAAAAAAGTGACAAAATTGATTTTGACTAGGGTCGCCCCTAGTCCAAAATTGAAAATGTATTTCCTACTTGGTTCTTTGCTCAAAAATTTTTTTTTCATCCAAAGTTTAATTTAAAAAAAAATCCCAGTGAACTTTGAATTTGAAAAATTCGTAAGAAAGGAAAGTTTTTTGCTTTTTCTGAAGCAACGGCTGTTCCTACCTTGCCTAAAAACAATACAGCTCTTCTATAGAGCAGCACGGATCAAATGTAAAAAACTAGAAGTCTCTACAATTTCTCGTTATTGAGATTTCTTGCTGATTAACTTGCTTGCTTGCTTGTTTGCTTGTTTGCTTGCTTACAGAAAGCATATTTTGCGATTTTGTCAGCAATGCCCCAACCAATTTGAAATCTGTTTTTTGCTTTTTTGCAAAATATGTAAATTTCAAGGCCCAAATTTTTTATCTCTGAACATTTTAAGCTTTCTTGCTCTATATCCTCACAAAATTCAAAAAACTGATTTTTCAATCTGAACAAAACCAATAGATTCACACGTGAAAACGGTGTGAATATAAAAATGTATTTGGGATCTGCTTTCGTTTTAATTGTTAAATGAACTTTGTCCTATTGATAATTCTCTATGTAATTATTAAAAAATCGAACTCTGATGTTGTAGATCTCTCTAGAACTGCCATATGTGTATCCTATGGAAAACAAGTCGGGTTCGAATGGAATCGAACTCACGATCCAAAAGAGGCGATCTTTGACCTCTCGATCAGAGATCAGAGTACTTATCTCATTTCGGTTTTCCGTCATACACATATAACCAGTTTCAACGCGAGCCCTATGCTCAGGCCTATCTACTACAGAAATGCTCTTTGAGCCATATCCACAGATGTTAATTGAATTCACGCAATAATAAATGAAGCTCAGATTTCCAGAACTTAACTTAAAAATAAGATCATTGAGACTTTATCCTGGAAAATTTGTGTCCATCCGACTTGATATCTCTGATACAACTTTGCACAGACGTAAGCAGATCGCAAATCGTAAGCATAAAACTTAAACTTTAAAATAGTCTATATGTAGAAAAGAATAAAGCTGTCTCAGTGCGGTATGAGTTTTGTCAATCACATAGTCCTTATTGGTTACTATATCTATTATTAATTACTTCCAGATCACCTTAATTTCTTAAGTCGACGAACATATCAAAAAATCATTCTAATTCGAAGCAATTTCACACAACTCTTAATCTCAATAGCTTCAAAAAATTAAAAGAAGTCAATTCCTTGAAGCCACAACAATGTATCATCAAATGGAAGCCTTTCTATTTTCATATTTTTCCACTCGACTAGAGAAATTCAATTTTGAAGTTTTCGCAAAGACAGAAGCATAAAGACAACAAAAGTAGCTCAATGTCAGTGGAAATAACATGAAAAAGTATCAAAAAACGCAATAAATGACAAGGAAAAGGCATAAAAATTAAAGGTAATTTAATCTCTATACAATGTTGTGGAAATAATTTCAACTTTATAAAGAAATTCGTACGTGCATGCATAAAAAACCAGAAGCTAAATGTTGATTATGGGATTACTGCATATCCCCCTTTTAGACATAAGCATGCATGTCATCTTTCATAAACCTCAAATTTCCTTAAAATTGGAATAAATTATTTATTTAAAAATAAAGAATATCCATCGAACTAAAAGAAGCAAGAGAGAGGAACTCTGAACGTGTAGGTAGATTTGATTTTTCTACCAAAGAGAGTAAAAGGCGGTACAGATGAAAGAAACATAATTATATTACAGCTGATAATAGAAATGCTCAATGTGTTCTTTCCTTTCCTTTCTTCTTCTTATTCATCCCACCGGTTCACGTTGACCGAGCGAGACAGCAATAACCCATTTATGTGTGGTAAATGGGAGGAAAGAAAAAAAGAGCATTAAATGGTTGTTAGGCAAAAAAAAGGGCTTAAAGAAATTTATGAAATAGAATCTCTCTCTCATCTTCTTTGTTCTTCCCATTCGCGTTAAAGAAAATGATTTGATTTGAAGATGTGTGTCGGCTTTTTGGGCTTTTGATCTTTTCACGAGACAATGACAGATTCAGTTCTTCTTTCTCTCTTCCTTATCGTTCTTCTTATTCTACTTATTTTCGTTTTCAGCATAAAGTGCTCTGTCTCGCTTCTTCTCCGTGGTTACAAATTGTTGAAGCTTTGTTGGACTAGTTTGAGCTGCACTGGATGTTTTAGAAATTTAATTTGACCGTTATTTTTCAAATTTTGTAATTTTTTTTTGAATATTTTATGGCTGTTATATTTTGCAAAAATTTGTCATATTTTCGTTCAACTTGCAACTAATTTATAACAGATTTATTAACACAATTTACGACACAATTTATAATTTTTAATTTAATGTTTAACAGAACAAAATTAAATTACACATAAACAAATTAAAACTCCAAATTTTCGCGATCTTCACTTATCATTCTCTCAAATTGCATTCTGAACTTCCACAATTCGTCTTCTTGCTTCTTAAAACCTTCCAAAATCTTCTTTAATCCATCACTATCTGCTAGCCATTCATCCTTAAAATCAAATACTTCGTATTTTTTCTTAACTTCTTCATAAGCCTTTACTTTTAGATCATTGCTATCACATTTGTGGCCCAGACTAAAAACATCAATTGCATTATCGCCATCGATTTCATTGTAAATGTTAGCTTCAGCATAAACTTTAAGACTCAAAATTTGTAATTTACTAGCAGCAGCAAATAGATGCATGAAGTTAGTGTCTTCTGGAAGTTCATTTGTGTATATAAATTCCAGGATCTTTTCAAAAGTTTCAATAGGAATATCATCAAAGTTTAGTTCCTCAACAGAAGGTCTAGCTTGCAATAGCTTAGCGATAAATGGACTTCGAATAGCCATAACAAATTTATTAACACGCCATTTGCGATCATTGATGTTGATTGTCAAGTCTTTCAATTTTTCATCCTGCAACACCCTTTTGATGTCAGCAAACAAACCAATGTATGGATTTAGGTCTTCTACTTCTTCTTCTTGATCATCCTCGTTTTCCTGTTCCTCGAGACTCAATAAATCAACTGTTTCTTGCAAACCTTTCACATACTTGAATTTTGTAAACTGATCTAATAAATGCTTCTTAATTTTATCAGTGGTTTTAAACGATAGTTGTCCATCGTATACAGAGTAGTGAAGTAGATTGTATTTAGCACTGCCTGTAAATTCAACATGCTTCAAGTTGTCTAGACCATCTAAAATTAATGGATCTACAAGAAGTAAAGTGCTCGACTCAAATTGGATGCACTCTAAATTCTCAAATTCATCAAACAAATCGCCATTTAAAATTGTAATCTTATTCCCAATGCTTGCAAATCGTTTTAATGTTTTGAATTTAATCAATGATTCTTTGTCAAGTTCTGTTATATCCGTTTTGTTCAATTCTAATGACTCCATGTTTGGGAAGAATTCGATAAGCTTTTCAGGAATTTTTTTACAGGAAGCTCCTTGAATAATCACAGATTTAACATCCGCATTGTTGCATGCACTTTTGTGGTAATAAGATGGAAAGCCTATATCTTTCAGCCTAATTAAAACAAATCAATCACCTCATCACCATTGGACATTTCTAAACGTTTTGATACAGCATAGTCTTGTAGTCCTTTAATTTGAAGTTTACTTGCAGCAATAAGTAAATCACTTAAGTTGACATCCTTTGGATATTCATTTGTGTAAATGTACTTAATAATTTGATCAAAAACTTCAACCGAAATGTCAACAAGATTTAACTTCTCAACACTAGGATTTTCTTGAAACATTTTGGCCATAAATGGACTTCGACTTGCTAGAACAAACTTGTGGGCACGAAACTCACAATCCTCAATGCTGATTATTAAATCATTGGATTCAAAAGTATTAATGTACTTCTTAATATCAGCATACAGACAGACCAAGATATGTATTGATTTGAATAATTTCAAGAATCTCAGCTTTTGATTCTTGCAATTCCTCACGAATTTTTAGATTTTCGTTCCTCAATTTATTCTGTGAATCCTCTAAATTTCTCATGCATGGGTTACGCGCTACAAATTCTTCATAAAGCTTTTCCTTAACTTCATTGAGCGTCGCATTGGATTTCATTTGCGGATATGTTGAGTAGAATTTGTTGTATTTTGCATTTCCGATAAATCTGACGTGCCTTAACTTTGTCAATCCATCCAAAAGGTTTGGCTCAATGAGTTGTAGACTGTCTGACTCAATGTGAATGCATTCAAGATTCTCAAATCCTTCAAATAAATCTCCTGGTAAAAATGTAATTGAATTATCAAAGCTTCCAAAGCACCTCAAATTGTTAAATCGACTTAGACTTTCTTTATGCAGTTCTCGTAAATCTGAGCTGTATATTTCGACAATCTATTCACATATTCATAAAATCATTAATAATGCGATTCTCATTTTGTGCTATTTACAACATCCATTCTTAATATCCCTAAACAACAAAAAGAAATTAAGAAGAATAGAACAGAAGATAGAATAGCCTCAACCGAAACGACCATAAATATTATGAGGAAAATAAAAAATAATAAAAAAGCAGGCAACAACAGCAGCAGCAGCAGATAGAACAAAACGAAGAACGAGAGAGAGAATGAGAAATTTTTTCAGTGGTAATTTAATCAACTGTTGGGTCTTTTTTTTCTGTAATGTGTATAGTGGTTGATGATGCTACTGTAATACGCCGAATGTATATAAATACAGTTCTTTTCATCTTCTTTCCTTATATTTCTTTCAATAACAACACTTTGATGCTGCTACTGTCTTTAGAAGAAGTAGAAAATGAAAAGGCAAGAGAACTGGTATGGAAGTTATTGCGTTTTTGAAGCTTTACGTGCGCATTTTAGTAGATTAATCAATAAGGATCTAGTTTGGAAACTGAATTTGTTTGCTATTTCTCAGAATAGCTAGTTTAATGCCTAAAAGACCACTTGTTGAACGATATGGATAAAGATCCACTTGAACATATGTAAACATCTAGTTTCTAGCATGTGGAATTATTTTTAACAACTTAAACATTAAAAGACCATCCACTCAGGAAGTACAAAGTGTATACCTAAGCAAATACACTCGTCGACTAAAAATTAAAGTCCGTTGAAAAAGAAAATAAGAAGCGTATTGACTGTTCTGTCGATGCTCGATACATGTATGTGAGGGAGAAAGAGCGAAACTACGTAAATGAGTGGATGGATTCATTCAAAATGTGTTTTTCGGTATGCCTTTTTATGTGTGCACACATAAATTTCTTCCTTTACTCTTTATATATATAATAATGATGATGATTGTCTCTTCTTACTTACTTACTGCCTCTCCTCTTGCTACAGCTACCGTATTTATTGTAAATAAATAAGTATATTGAGACGTTGCGGCATATTTATTTTCCAATTTGAAGATATGAAGATTGTGTTGTGGTCGCCTCATAAATTTGCTCAATTGGAATGAACATGCCGCCTCAAAAAAAAGTATTGTCTGAAAATTATTTAATTAAAGATCATTTTTCTTCCTGTATGCTCTTTTTCGACGTTGCTTTTATGCAATAATCGAATTGGGTGTTTAACTTGAATTCCAACCGTCATATGTGCAGTTTTTGGATGATGGAATCATGGAATGAGTGAAATAGGAAGAGTTGGAAGCTGCTATTAAGGATGAGAAGTAATTTTTGATTATCTAGTTTATTTGATTCTTCAGAAAATAATTTTAAATTAAAGTAACCTTTGAAAATAAAGTTGAATATTTTTACTCTTAAAAATCTGATCTGACTTGAATCGAAGCAAATTATTGGAACTATTAAGAAAATTCAATAAATTTTGAAGAAACTGTGAGTATTGGGAGTGATTTTGAAGAATTTTGATCATTTTTAACATTTTTTGCTATCAAATATTAAAATATTCTTTGAGATGGCTTTAAATTATCACTTTTAACTTCATACCGTTCACAAAGTCATAGAATAAGACATACATTTCTTAAGACAGCACAACAAACTACTTACAAAACATCAGATGCAACCTTCAATACAAATTTCATTCGGAATTAATCCATAAGGTTAACTTTAGGTCCAATAACTTATATTGCCTTAATCCTTTTTGAAAAAGAGTCCATAATTAAATAGAGGAAGTAGCCAAAAAGGTTTTTTTTTAATCTCAATAGATTCTTAACATCAACAATTACTAATTTTCTGTTCTATACGAAGATAATTAGACACTAGATATGTATTTTTTAGCGTGTTCAACAGAAATATTAAAGAACAGAAATTAAAAATCAAAGCGAAAGAACTACAAAAGGAAAGAAAAGATTTTCGGTAGAATGAATAACAAAAAAAAAATATGAAATATGAAAGAAAACTTACAATATATAGCTTACTTATGAGAATTCCCACATATCGTGGTTGGTTTTTAGCATAAAAACGTAAGACGTGTGCCATGCTAACATCAAAGACAAAAATGCCGACATGAAAAGAGCCGAAAATGTTTTTTTTTCTTTCATTTCATATTATAAACTGGAAATATAAAGCTATGAAGTGATCTTAGTGCATTGAGTGTAGTGTATGTGTATGTATCGTCTGAACATTCGATACTATCTCGTTGTTTGTGAGTAAATGAATGAGAATTTATTGAAAAGAAAAGAATTTCATCGTAGCGTTATTGCATTTTGTGGTATTTAACAATTTTTGTTTTTTTTTTAAGTTGAATAAGTGGGAAGTGAAGCGATAGGTGTAGAAAAGTGATGGATTTTGTTCTTAATCATTTTGCCTTCTCGTTCTAATGCAGAGTTAAAATCTTAGATTATGAACTAGTTTTGACAGAATTTGGTAGTCTTGAGACTGGAAAATGAAAACGCGAAGATTTAATCAAAATAATGGCTAAGTCTTTAGATAATTTGCAATGACAGATTTTGGTGAATACTTATCATTATAAAGAAACCTTGTTAATAACTTCCAAAGACTTTCAAAACAATCTTGAACATTAACTAGAGTCGAACTCGAAAAACCTAGTTGCTAGTCAATACTAAACAGACCCAATTTGATCATAAAAAATCAAAGCCCATTCAGTTACCAACTCTGTTCAAGTGAAATAACATCAATTAAATGTTAAGAACAACAAAAATATTTCAATTAAAAATTTTCATTTCAAAAAATTATTTTTTCTTCTTTTCACTTTGATCGTGCCGCATCACATGATAAAATAAATAAATAATGCGTATTAAAAGGAATTGATTTGAGCTCAGAGTGAATTCTATGATATCATCGGAAAGAAACCCGATCATCTATGCGTTTAGTCATAGAAGTTTCTTAGTTTTTGTCGAAATACCAAAAAGGAAATCATATCAATTTTCCACTCAGAACACAGCAGAGGCTTTTATTTCCATTCTTAACTATAAATTATTGAATGATCGATAGAACTATGAGACGGAAGTTGGATTAAATTTATTGAATCAACGCAAAATATAATTAACTATGAAATAATAGGCGGCTTAATGATTTATTGAGGAGTTTTGGATTTATTTGAAGATATAACAAATACATAGTTTAATATTTTATGGATTCTCAAAACCTGACGTTAAATTGTGACAAGAAATGTTAAAAAAATTGAAATTTAAATGAAAAAAATGGAACTTCTTTTGTATTTCAAATTTTATTTCAAATTTTTATTTAAGATTCGAACTTAGTATATCTTTGCGTAGTTTTGAGATTTGAACTCACGACTTCATATTTTGTTTGACTCATTTTGATAAATGACACTTTTGTGTAATGTTTTTTGTTTGCGATACATTAACATATTATATAATTGTATCTAAAATCCTAATTTTCCATACACAACCATAGTCAAATCTCTTTTTGATGTTTACTATGCAAACACAGAAGAAAAAAGTTCAATCGCATCTTAATCACGTTTATAAATCACGTGATTAAACGCTTAATCTTCCATTTATTATCCTCAAAAAAAAAAACACCGGCAAAGAACAGAGAGAATAGAAGGGAAAAGATAAAAAGGAACGGAAATAAAAATTAACAAACAATAAAATCATGATAAGTAATAAATATATCCGCGATTGAAATAGAAATGAATCCGTTCTCATTGAATGAATCTAATTATATTGTTGTTTTTTTCCCTTGAATGAGTATACAAAGTAATATAAAGATACAGTCTTCTTTATATCATGTGAGATTCCCGAAAAAAAATCTCAAGTCTCAACCGCAGTATAGGGGTCGACATGATATTAGGTATTAGGTAGTGGATTGACAAGGATGTTATGGGTTACAAGGGCTGGTTTATGGGGCAATCCTGGACTAGAATAGAAAATCGATGTTTTACTCTTTTGGATGTTAAAAAAAATTGATTGTGAATTTAGAGTTTGGTTCCTTAGGTGGTCCTACTACAATAAGTTTAAAGTGGAGGTTCTAAAGAGGAGCTATTTCTGTTTGTAACCCAGAATCAATTAGAATTTAAATCTAAAAATTGAATAATGGTTGTAACTCAGCAGAGCTTGAAGTCGACTCAAGATTTTCATCGATTTTGTATGGTGGAGTTGACTTTGAGTTCTGCAACTCAGTTTAAGTAGCTGCCCTTAATGTCAGCTACTTTATTGTATTAAACCTTAAGATTATCTCAATAGAACGAATTTTAGAATTATACCAATAATAACTTCATAAATTAACATACAGTTTTAGATCTAGTCTATTCTGTAATGTAGACGCAACTCACAAACAACCCCCATACATGAAGCCATAGTATAGAAAATCTAATGCGTACTCTACTATTTATTTGATTGCTCTTTGTGGATGTTTGCTTGTTGTTTCTCTTCCTCTCTCTCACTTTTTTTATATATATATTTTTCATTCCATTTCTTTCCTCTTTTTTTTTAAAGTCGGCAAACGGCAAATATCAAAAGGTATTTTTGTTCGTTTGTTTACATAATAGTGGTTTCTTTTTAAGAAAAAAAAAGAGCCGTGTAGTCATTTTTTATATGGAACAAAAAACCTTAGAAGGATCAAACAGAGCCGCACGATACGATTAAAAGAAAAGAAAAGCAGCAAAGTATAAAGAAAAAGAATCTCTTAAGACTTTTTATCTCATTGGGTTCTGATTCTGTGCGCTTGGCTGTGTGCGCAGGATTTTCTCTTCTCTCATTCCTTTTTTGTGTGTCTCCAACAATATTCTTTGTGTAACATGCCTCATGATGTAGGTTAATATTCCTGTCCTAATTCTAAATAGAATCCATTATATTATACGAGATCATTAAATTGAAATTCAAAAGATTGTCATATTTATTAAACTAGATCTGTCATTTGTCACGATTTATTATGTCAATTTTTTTCATTTTTCTATCTGTCCATTGCTTTTTCTTCTTCTCAAGGAATAGAAACGTGCGTTTTGTTGATGGCTGTATATTTTTCCTTTTCTTGTTTGGCTCTTTTTCTGAATTGAGGTAGAAAGTGTGGCGGTTTGTCTTAGCTCTAGTTCAAATAGTTTATATTAAGCACGACCTAGCAGAAATTTACTTGTAATTTTCTAGTAATTTACTGGATAACTTTCCATTTGCTACTTGCTATTTACTAGTCAAAATCCAAGTTCAAATCTTCGCCAAAGCCCCACATTTTTTGCTTGCTAATTGACTAGTCAATTCACTTACAATTTAACTAGTAATTTACTAGCAAATTTGTAAAAAAATTAAATGAATATAACCGTTGATTTCCATGTGTTCTTTTGATTTTTCTTATTTGTGTAAATTATTGTAAAAGTATTAGTGTGTACTTATTAATTAATTAAAGCACAATGACACTTTGAAAAAAAAAGACTTAATTTAATTAAGTCGAACACTGATGAACGCCCATGACATTTTATGACGCAAAAAATTCTTTTTTTGATGATTTTTCGTAAGATTCGAACTTAAGCAGACTTGATCAAACATCAATCTTATAATGGTGATTTCTGCGCGCTCTTGTGAAGCATATAACAAATGCCAAATTTAGAACAAAATTTTTTATGACGCAAAAGATTCTTTTTTTTTGATGATTTTTCGTAAGATTCGAACTTTAGCAGACTTGATCAAACATCAATCTTATAGCGGTGATTTCTGCGCGCTCTTGTAAAATATATGGCAAATGCCAAATTTAGAACAAAATTTTTTATGACGCAAAAAATTCTTTTTTTGATGATTTTTCGTAAGATTCGAACTTAAGCAGACTTGATCAAACATCAATCTTATAACGGTGATTTCTGCGCGCTCTTATGAAATATATGGTAAATGCCAAATTTAGAACAAATTTTTTTATGACGCAAAAAATTCTTTTTTGATGATTTTTCGTAAGATTCGAACTTAAGCAGACTTGATCAAACATCAATCTTATAACGGTGATTTCTGCGCGCTCTTATGAAATATATGGTAAATGCCAAATTTAGAACAAATTTTTTTATGACGCAAAAAATTCTTTTTTGATGATTTTTCGTAAGATTCGAACTTAAGCAGACTTGATCAAACATCAATATAATAATCGTGATTTCTGCGCGCTCTTGTGAAATATGTGGCAAATGCCAAATTTAGAACAAAATTTTTTATGACGCAAAAAATTCTTTTTTTGATGATTTTTCGTAAGATTCGAACTTTAGCAGACTTGATCAAGCATCAATCTTATAATGTTGATTTTTACACGCTCTTGTGAAGTATATAATGTTGATTTCTACACGCTCTTGTGAAGTATATGGCAAATGCCAAATTTAGAACAAAAGTTTTTATGACGCAAAAAATTCTTTTTTTGATGATTTTTCGTAAGATTCGAACTTAATCAGATTTCATCAAACATTTCACATGGTAATTTCCGCTTAGTATGCAAAATAAGATCCAGTGTTACTTCTCTTTTCTAATTCAATAAAGCAAGGCAAGTAAGTAAATCAGTAAGATTACTGGATTTGCTAAAATAAAAATCACAGAAACATTAAACCACATAATTTCTAATATTTTGATGAATTGAACAATAAATCCACAGATCAGCATTTATAAAGACTTAAAAATATGACAGCATTCCTTCAAAACTATTTCCAAATTCAAGCTATACCATATCAAAGATATTTTTTCTTATTGTTAACCGCAGGAAACGCTCCATAGTCATACATAATTTATGAGACCTTTTTAACTCTTCAATATTTATGTATCTATTATGAATTTTATATAAATCAATAGCTCAATATTAAGAGTAGAGGGCAAAAGAGATAAAAAAAAATTACTAAATACTTTACAAACTCGCCGCTGGTGATGGAGTTATTATTATATTATTACTGGATATTGTTGTTGTTGTTATTGTTGTTGCAGGTTATTTTTTTTTTTTAATTTAAATTTTCGGTAACATCAAAGAAGTAGCCTCATAATATGTAACTTTTAATTTCTTTTTTATGGGTTTTTTTCTTCTGAAATCTCTTTAATACCACCCGACTCTTTTTCTTCTTGGATATATGTGTAAAACTTTACATAAACACTATAAATCGTGAAATGTCGGTGTGTCGAATTATTCTCTCTTCTTTTTGTTCCTCTTAATTCTCCTTATGACCCGACTTTGGTTCCAACAATTAATTTAAGTTGCTACTGTGATGAAATTTGCAGCTTCTTATCTTTTCGTCTTTTCTTTTTGTTCCTTTTTTTAACAATGCGCAAATTTTTCGGATTTCTTTTCAACATTTTTATTTTTGTTCTCCTTCTCTTGATCATCAATGTGCTGCATTTCTGTCCTGAGGGAACCTTTAAGTGCATTTTTTTCCTTCTCTTTTCGGTTTGCTTGCTTGTTTCTTCTTGAAATTCTCACATGAATATGCATGCATAAATTTTTCACGCAATTAATATTTTGCAACAGCACTGAAAAAAAAGAGGGAAACAAAAAAAAAAGAAAAGAAGAATTTATGAGCGTCAGCAGCATCGACAATCGGCAGCCACAGTAGTAATAAAAAAATTTGTCTGACAATCGCGACTTATTTTTTTATTTTTGCTGCCTGGTTAAGTCTCTCACTCTCTTCTTTTTCGGCAATGCGGATGATCATTTTCACGTGATGCTGTTGATGCTGCACTTTACATACAATTGCAATTGCTTACTCTCTGCAAACAAGATCTTCTCAATGGTCTTCGGTTGAGCATGAAAATATTTTTTTTTTATTTTCCGAACGACTCTCTCAAGTGGAGTCGAAGAGAGGCACGAATGAATGTACGTATCGGAACGTAAAGGAGCTCTCGTTTGAAAAAACTTTTCAAATCCATTTTCAAAACGTTTGTATCGTTCGTCGTGTTAAGATGTGTTTTTAAAGACATAAAAAAATTTATATATTGTCGAAAGAAGTTAAATAGTTAATAACAATAAAGTCTTGTGGGAATTTTTTAAAAAAGAAATATTGAAAAAAGAATTTAAATTTTAAAAAATCAACAAAAAAAATGTTTAAAGTGAAATAATCAAAAAAAAATCCAGAAATTGTGGAAGTGAACTAATTGAAAATAATTTTTTTTCATGCTGTAATTAATTTTTTTGAGAATAAAAATTCCTTTGATGTGTGAATTTTTGTTGTTTTTTGGGGTGCAAAATTAAAGCAAAAAAAAAAAAGATAAATTGATTGAATGCAAAGGAAAAATATTTTTGATGATTTTAAAACTCGAATATACAAAAAATATATCGAGAGTTCAATGAAAAGTTTAATGATATTTTGATACACATGAAAGAATGAAAAGAAAAAAATTATTATTATTATTATCATAATTGATCTTATTGGATGAGTGATAGATAGTAAAATTAATCAAAATCTTTCCATTAATACACTTTGAAAAAAAATAAGAGAGAAAAAATTTTTTAAAAAAAATCTCATTAACCTTTGAACAAAAAGGTGTTGAATTCGTCAATATTACAAAGATCTTTTGGAGAACAAAAACTCATGAAAAATGGAGCAGAAAATTAGAAATTTCAAAATTATTCTGGTAAGTCTTAAATCTTTGATTATTTAACTATATTAAATTGTTTTTTGAATTTTGTTCAAAAATGCCACATTTGAAATTCACACAAAATTTATTCAAAAGCTATTCGAGACTCCACAAATAAATCTAGTTTGGCTTCAACATTTTAGTAAAGGATTTGAAATGAAATGTCTTCATTAATGAAGAACAATTCAAACTTAAAATCGATCAATTTTCACTATTTATAAGAGTTCAGGTCTATGAACTTTCAGTCTTGGTTCTGTCCAAACAAAAATTTCAAAGTTCATCCAAAAAGCGATGATTTTTTTTAAGTTTATAAAATTATAATATTTTCTCATTTTCCTGAAAGTTAAAGACCTCAGATCTATCATAAAGTTCTTACAAAATATTTTCGTTACTAATGACAGAAATAAGTTTTATGGACTGAGAGAAAATTTCAAAATAAAATAATTGTCAGGCTTTTCAACATAGTTGAAATGATCGACAAAATATCAAAGCATGAAAAGAAAAGAAAATGGAATTTTAAGAATTTGTGAAGTTGGGGATTGAAAGAGATTATTATAGGGAGTTGCGGTGTTTGTAGATCAACTTTATGTTTTTCTGGCAAGTTAAGGATGATATTTTTGAAATTAATGTCAAATTAGGAAGATAAAATCAATCATTTACTTAAGATTGTCAATGTCTGCTTTGAAATTGGCAAACTCTTAAGTTTGTCGATCAATCCAACTGAACTTAAACATTTCACACTATCAAATTTGACTCAATCTACTTCTTATGACATAAAAAGGGCTTAAAAAGAGTAAAAACCAAACAAATTTTCTAAAAACTTTTTAAAGATTCTTCAAATTCTTCAAGATCAAACATACTTTTTGGACTTCCAGTGAATTTCTAAGAACTCCATTCCCATTTGATCTCCAAGAATCATATGTACGTGAAGGAATTTGTAAATATGATTTGCATAACTTCAAAAGTAAAAAATCATTTGAAATTGATTGATTTTGAGCAAGACCCTTCCGAAAAAATAATTACAGCAATAACTCAACATTCATAAATTCCTCACATTTCTCTGTAATTATGGCTTTAACAAATGGATTTATTTTTTCTTTAATTCTCAAGAACTTTTAAAGAAATTAGAGAGAAATTTATGATAAATTGCTTCCAAAAAGCAATAATTTTGAGTCCGAACAAAAAGAAAAAGAAAATAATAAAAGAAATATAGTTCCGCTCCCACACGCATGAATCTCGGAAGTTCCTTTGAATCAATAAATTTATCTCTTTATATGGAATCTACTTAATAATAGTTGTATAGTAATAATAAATAAAAATGAAACTATAAATTAATTTTCAATGTAATGTTTCATGTCGCAAAACATCAATCGATAGAAGCACATCCAATCATTTCTCTCCCAAAGCCATTAATTTGTTGTTATCAAATCTGTTCACACCACTTTACCGCAATATAATGTTGTTTTTATTCGCACTATTGATTTTCCATCTGCCGACGCTCATCATCATCAATACAAATTGAAAATTACATCTCTTTCATGCCTTACAAATGCCTTGGCTGAATGGAACGAGAGTCAAAAACGAAATAAAGAAAAAAAATATCATTTCATTAATTTTATTAGACCGCGATCATAAATTGCGATTGTTAATTACATGTTAGGTTCCTTTTTTGCATATCATATGCCGCTGCTTGCTGCTGGTGCTACTACTTTACTACTCGTACGACAACAAAACGACAACGTCGACATTTGATTCGAATTGTGAAACATAACAATTTTTTTTAGCATCGCGTACACATGTCTTTCGCTAGTAGTAGATATATTCTCTCCACTTGTAAAACATCAAAAGAATAATGCCGCGCTATTCGTGTTTAATGTTGTTGAAATCAACTATACAGAAAGGAGAAAAGAAAAACCAGAGGAGCGAGAGATGTGTGCCATACATATAAATAAGTATGTAATGGAAGCAAGAAATACTGCTTGATATTAAATTTATTGTTTTTACTCATGATTATCGTGATGACGGTGGAATTGGGTGGACAATTCAGGAATTTTTCTCGTGCTTGTTTGGGTTCTATGACATTTTTTTATTTATTTCGAGTGGGTTGATCGTAGTTTTGTTGAAATTGACAGGCTTATTAGAATGTCGTTAGCAGTGACTATTAAATGTTGAACAAGCTATTTAGTACTTCACGGAATTTAACTTCAAATTTTTTTTTTCAAATTCAAAAAAACCGTTACATTTTTCAAACATTAAGTTCAATTACTTTCAACTCAAAAGAAATAACTTTTAATTATTTTATCAAAATTCTTAAACAGCCGTAAATGAAAAAGAAGGCATATAAGAAGTTGCTCTAAATGGAATTGATGATAATGATAAGCTACTTACAATCATCCATTTTAATACGCAACAAATAACAATAATAACAATAACGGCAGCACTAATAATATAATAATAAAAGACATAATAGAAAAAAAATTCTCCATAATTATAATTTTTTTTTTCGAAAGTAGAAGCAGCAGCCAGCATCCAGCAAGCAATATAAATTCATACAATCTATAATGTGGAAGATGCCTTGGTATTTTATAATGTTCACCTCTCTACACGATTACAATGGCATGTTTTTTTATTCGTTTGATCTTTTGCCGCCCCGATTATTTTGCTCTCACTCACTCGCCTTCATACACCAGGTTTTTCTCGCTCCATCTCACTTACACACCTCTCTTCCTCGACCAGTCTCTTTTTGAACGCAACTTTATTATTTATGCAATTCTCTCGGTTTTCACTCTCTTTCTCTCGGTTCGGTTCTTTTTATCTCTTTTTTTGAATAATTGCTAATTTTATGACTGTAAATTATTGATTGAAAAGAAATACTTTGTGTAGATCCCAAAGCAATAACAAAAGAGAGACACAAACTGTGCGTAAATTTGAGGCTATTAAAGCATTTGAAGATCCTTGCAGGTTCCCCATGCAGATTCCTTTTAAAAACACAGCAATAATAATCAGTCTTCATAGGAAGGCTTCTAACATTCAATTCTATAGAATTTTTATTTTTACGATTGTAATTAGATTTCAAGACAGCAGCAAGCACAGAGAAGATCGAAGAGAAAATTTCCTAATTTGCCTTTTAAAAAAAAGAGCCAGTCTCATTCAATGACTAATTTGATATCTGGCCTATAAAAGCATCAAACGGTTAAAACATGTAATAAAATTGTCGGTAAAATTGCTTTGAAGTTTTTTTTATACCATATTTTTCTCTCTCTTTCGTTAATAACCAAAAAAAAAGTTTGTCACTATTGAAAACGAAAATTTCTGTCTGTCTCGCACTCACTCTCTCCTTCTCCCACTTCTTGGCATGTTCTTTATCTGATATTCTTCTGTTCTGATTTTTTTTTTCTTTAAAAAAAAAGTAAGTAATATGATTATTGTGCGTGTCTGTGTTCAATGCCCTCAAAAAAGAAAAGAAAGAAAATCTTTTTATTTCATGTGATGGATTGCAGACCCTTTTATCCAGCAGTGCTTTTCTCATTTTGACGTAATGAAAAGTTTTACGCTTATCAAAAATGAAAAAAACTTTTATTGCCTAGAACGAAATAGAAAATCTCTTTCTTATGCTTCTTTTGAAGACTATTTCGGTAATTGCATAATGTGAATTTTAAATGATTTAGTGCTGTTTCGTGTAAGAGTATCTCTATGAGGGTGTTCTAATGAAGTGCTGCTAATGATGGCCTAAAGCTTATAGAAATTTGATTTTTGAGACTATTTGAGGATAAAAGACACACATTTTCATGCTTACTATCAAACCTACTTCATTTAATTTTCAATCATTCTGATCTAATCTTCAATCTTTAATGATTCTGAAGATCATACTGCCAAATAATCTGAAGTTGACTACGAACGTTAACAAAGGGTCAATTTTAGACCGAACAAGACATACCCTTCCAACAAAAATTGACTATATGGTCAACAAATCACTTAAAAAATTTTATTTCTTCAATTCAGAACCAATTTAAAACCCATTCAGCTTCTGAATCTAAAAAATAACACATCCATAAAATTATCTCCAAGAATTCTCAACCAAATTCCAATGACCAGATTAGTTTAATTCTAAAAATTATCGAGGATTAATGTCAAAAATATTTATCTTTATTTGAGTTTATTTCCCTCAATAATTCCATAATAAAGACAATAATCTCCAAATTGATATGGATTTTAATTAGCTTTTTGACGTTAATTGATATAGCATTAAGTCAGTAAAATAGTCACTTTTATGCCAATTAACACGTTACACTTTTCATATGCTTAAGAGCATTTTTTTTTTTTGCAAACTGTGAAGATTTGTTCTACGAATGCATTAGTCATGGCATTGGAGTTTATGGTTCTTCTAACACTTTTTTCATTACCTTAATCCCTTTTACTATAATAAAGTAAGGGAAAATAAATACCACACTGCCCTCCCTGATTCCATCCAAACAATACGATTGCAATGCGGTAAAGTTCTTACAAAATTTATAACAATAGGCAATATTGCAAAGAATCTTCCACCTGACATGTGCGTAGAATCAAGATCGATTCCTTGAAAACAACCGAAAGAATTTCTATTCGGTTTCATGTCGCAGGTGGTTTTCTATCTGCATCTTAGCTTTTTTTTTTTTGCGTGGGAAAATATTTTATTTTGTTCTTATAAAAAAAAGCCAGCAGCCGTCATCATCATCATCATTGTCCGAAAATGCTTCATTGTTTTCGTTTCTTCCTAAGATCCTCTCTTTAATATTTTTTTTTCTGACAAAAAAAGTGCAAAAAAGGAAAGAAAAAAAAGTTTTATTTTTGGTGCTTTAAAATCACCTGTTCTCTTTTGAATGTCTGCCGTTTCTTATTCCACATTATTTTTGCGCGGAGCATCAAAGACGCATTTTTAATAATACAAACCAATTCACTAAATATGTGTGTAAGTCCGTACATGAATGAATCTAATTTATCATTCATCAAAGAATATA